TAATAACAAATATGAAATATATTTTATATTCATTTTTATATAAAGTTGATTTTCTAAATTTTTTCTAATTCTTTTTGAAAGGAATTAAAAATATATAATATTCCTTTAAAATATGCAAAAATGTATGCAATTCTGATTATTCAATATGTTTCTATTTTGTTATATTATTCTTTTTTTTTATTTTATTTTAAAAAAAAAATGAAATTTTTATTTAATTTGTACAACAAAATATTATATTGTGAGGTTAAATAAAGAAATATGAATATTTATGTAATTAATTATAAATTATATATATGAATGAACGTACTAATGAAAGATATGAATAAATGTGCCAATAAACGTTTTGATGTGCCACTATAAATCGTAATCGAAACGTTTGTATGATCGTTGTGGGAAGTTTATGCTAATGAGGCTGCTACCTCGTTAACAATTTCATTTAAATTCCGGAGACGCGATATATCTGTACATATACATGTAACTCCAACCTCTAAAACTACAATTTTGTACATTTCGTTCTTCTCCATTATGAAAACCACAAGTAAAAATAAAACTTACTTGATAATTTGTTTAAATTCAAATTACTTGCCACATATCTTAATGCATTATTTTACCTCTATAAAAAAAAAAAAAAATTAGAAATAATCTCTACAAGTCAAAGTTTATCTCTAAAATAATTTTTGATATACTTACTCAATTATTTCATTATCTTATAATAATGTAAATAAAAAAATGTTAAAAGAAATTATACTTTTCTTATTTGATAACACAATAATTAAATTATTAATTAATTAAATCATTTCGATATGGATCATAATTAGGATTTCCAGTTCGTAACTATATCTAAGTGGCAAATTCAAAGTTACATCCGAATACTTTCGAGTTTTTAAGCACCAGCGTTAAAAATTAATTTAACTTATAAATTTTTTATTTGCGGGCATTGAACTTCTCTGAATTCGAGTTAGAGATAAAATAAATATATTTAATCCCGTAAATAATTTGATTTATATTTTGAATTACAAAGATTTTCAGAGCTAAAATAGCAGAAATAAATAAAATTATTGAGTTTTTCGCATTTCGTAGAGATTCAAGTGTAGTATTTTGAAAACGAGAGGTGAAAAAGTAGCAAAATGAAAAGAAGGTAATCGGGCAGGTTATCAGCGTTCAGAATGTAACTATTGGATCTTAGTGAGAAAACCAATATTACAGTATACACTATACAGAAATGTATACATTTCATCCTTTACTTTTTTTGTTCGTTTTTCTTTTTTTTTTTTTTTCTACGAATATTTACCG